ACATGTTGGGTGAACCTAAATTTATACCAGTGTGAGGATCAATGAACACTAACCCTCAGTTTGAGGAGGCAGGTGACCCTGGCACCAAGTGAAAGATTAGAGGAATTACTCTAAATTGTGACAATTTGTAATGATTCTTTGGGACTATTCCATTGGGGCAAGACTTTGGAGTAATAGCTCACAGCCTGACGGCGAAAAAGGTTATGTCTACATTAGTAATCTGTTAGGAGTGGATCAATAAACAGAAGCAAGAGATGCAGAAGCCCTTACCTCTACGTCACATTTAGTTCAAGAGGTGTATGCTCCAGATCAGATTTAGTCTGGTCCCCTGGACTCACTGTCCTCACCACACTAGTGGTCTGAATCTGTCTGAACATGCAGTCATTGGTGCAGACCCTTGTTTCTGCTGTTGGAACGTATCTGGTGTGCATCCAGAGTGGAGTTTCTGCTTTAGTTTCTTCTGAAAAGAAGATAGTATGTGTCCACCAAAACTGGTCTACAGACCCAAACAGCCAATCATAAGTGGGGATCATGGGAGATTCGTTTCTAAACCATAATGCTGCTCCAAAACAAAACATAATGCTTTGGTAGATGTAATCACTGCAGTCTTGACATCAAATCAATGCTATAACCCAGCATTAAAATAGGTTAGACAAAATCTCTGCTTGCAATCTTCTGCTGTCACAGGCAAATTCTTTATATATTAATGATAGTAATTTCTGCATTTATTAATTTTTCCTGTAGAAATCATTGCATTAAAAGCAAAACAATAAGGAACTTTTAAGTCAAGTATTCTGAGCAAGAGTTGAACAGTTGTCTGTCCATAGTGTATTAGGGTAAATTATGGAGTGTGGAGTTTTGTGCTGCTCTGGCTTGACCTCTTTCAATACCTGAGCTTCTGTAAAGCGCTGCAGTCTGGCATGTGAGACACACCCAGCAGTGTCGCAGTGCAGCAAGAACTCTGTCTTTCTGATTGTCCTGTCAGTCCTTAGCACCTCTTGAGGATGGCAATGGGTTTCTTGTGGTGTTGTCAGAGAAAATTTTTCCTATTTCACTGCCTATGTGTTTTTACATGTTTACATAATCCTTAGAGAAGCGGAAGATATCAATGGGATTTTTTTCCTCATTACTACATAAAAATAATGTTTTCAAACAACAGCAAACCTTTCTTCTAAGTATCAAACAGTGCATACTACTGACAAGAAAGTGTTTGCAGATATAATCAAGATTTTTTTAAAAAAGAACTATGTAATTTTTGCCATACAGAATAACCAGCTTGAGAATACACTGAAACTTTCTAAAGAGTTTGACACAAAATGCATTTTGTTTTATCCTGGACTGCTTCAAGAGCAATACGAAGTTGTTAAAATCTTACACTGACACTGGGAAATGTTCTGTGATATTTTAAAGCCCATTTTTAACAGTGGTAAACAGAATATAGTCATGCACAGTAGCAAAAGGAAGGGTAACAAACAGAAAACCTCTCATTCATTTGGCTTAGCAGAAGCTTGCCTGTTCTGTTTAAAAAGGTCTGAGAGGAAACATCATATGCTAACATTGCCAGCCTTTTGCAAATTATGAGTAGGTGTACTTCTTGATCAATATGTGCAATCTTTTGACAAATACTTTATAAGGGATAGATATTTCTCTAATCAGAAAAATTTGTCAGAAGAAGAGTTAGATACGAGCCCATAAAAGATCTGAGATTATATAGACGATGCGTTCAAAACAGATACTAAACAGTGTACTTGGCAGGTATTTTAACATTAATCTCCAAGTGGAAACCTTAACGATAACTGTGCCTAAATATTGAGGAGCACTTTTGGAAGCTACCGATTTGAAATGTTGCCTCTGAAACATTACATTTATAATCTGTTTCAGAACTGGCACTCTGCTGCCAAGGCTGATGACTTAGAAAATGTTTTATGTTTTACTGCATGTCCCAGAGGGCTATATCAGCTGAATTAACTTTTCCTCTTCTAGGTAATACGCAGTTTGAGTATGTTAAAACCCTGCACAGAAAACATGTTTGTTATAGTCCATTTTGGTTTTTAGTTAACTCCTTCAATGTCAACAAGAACAAGACTGAACTTTTACTAGCATTACCTAACTTGTACTGAAGAATAAAGAGCTGTTTCAAGATTTGTTTCATGTGGTGTGTGTCCAAATATTGATGAAGTATTTTCTTTCCAACAAGTCTTTTTTTTTTGGTCATCAGAGAGGGAGCACGTTCTACAGCAGCAACAATTCAGCAGGGACATGCAGAGAATAATCCAGACTTGCCAGACAAGCTCACTGGGCCTTGAAAGAAAGAGTCTGTTTCGAGAAGCTTCCTGCCCACACCGTGCATCCTTCTGCCTTGACCTGGTGATTTATACTATGCTACATAAGAGACCTATCATTTTATTATCAGCTATCGTTATCAATATTACTAGGGTAAAGGCAGGTAAACAGAAGGCCTAACAGAAGCTGGGTATATCCAACAGGAAGCATGTTTGTACTGGCTGCTCTCCTTGCACCTCACAGAAGAAATATCCATGACCCAATACACAAACAAAGGGATCATCAGAGTGTACCACGCGTGCCCAGGCATTTTGTCTATGTCTTGGACACGAATGGTACATCACTCAGTAGTGCACCAGCTAGCTTTGTTAGCATTTTATATATTGCAAATCAGAGAGGCTTACTTCTCTTTCTCTCGCTCCTTATTCTGCCAGCCCACAGACTAAGCAGGAATTTACCATATCGCTGTAAAAGAAAAAGAAAAGCTCAGAAACTTTCTTATTCTTAAATTTCAGACTGATCAGCAAGTTTGTTGAGGGTTTGGTGCCATAGGTTTGATCAGGTTTAAACTGTAAAACGTTTACATTTGTAGATGTCTAGTTAAAGGCAACATTAAACACAACAGACCTGTTTTGCTTTTGTGGCTTTGCTTACCAACTACAATATCCTATATCAGAGAGGGAGGGTTGGGAGAGGAGGAGAAAACCCATCTGAAATTTAGCAGCTTGAAAAAACCCAAATGTTTATAATCAGCTTGAGAGCTCAGTGGATTTGTGAAATCGTTTGGGATTAACAGGCTATTGATTGCTAATAAAACAATATTTAGCTTTGTTTGATGAACAGCAATGGAAAAAGGTGTGGGCACCTTGTCAAACAAGACCCATTGAGGACGGATGATGGGTTAAGTGTGGGGGTCTGAGTGGCAGCGTGGGTGCCCGTTCTTCAAGGAGAACTTGTCAGTTGTTAGTAAGGCTGGTGAAAGGAAGGACGCCAGCGCCTGATGGCTGGGGTAGTATTGATGCAAGTTAGCTGACTAATCAGATTGAAAAAGTCCCATGGTATTTATGTCACTTTAATTTTCATCAAACAATTGGAGACGACAGCACTCTATTAAGAAGAGGTTGATCCAGAACTAAAGCTAAATAAATTAGGGCCTCAGTTTAATCAAATTATCCCTCTACTGGCCTTGGATTAACTGAGGGAGACAGCGTCGGTCTAGGCACTTTTGATTGGCTGATTTTTTTTTTAAAGAAGCTAGTACAAAGAATGGGAGATTTAACACACATAGCTACTACTCATAATACCTCAAACAAGCACCTTTTAAAAAAAGTAGAAATTAATATTTATCAGGAGAATTTGCAGTTTTACTGAGGGATGTTTCCATTTTTATGTTAGTTTTGTTCAGTGAGATGAACTGAAAAAGAGGTAAAAATCTCTCACCAGAAGAGCTAAAGCAAGAAAACTTGGGGAAAGCTGGCACAAAAATCTAAGTAGTAGCCTAATGCTACTAAGTAACTTCTTATTTGATTCAGAATAGATGGTTTCATTTACCTGCTTTGAAGATCTGATTGCACATTCACATTTTGCTATTATTTACTTACATTATTTGTGAAGGGTTAAGTAGTGCTTCTTCATGCTTTCTACATTCTTTAGATCTCTGGGGAAAGCCTTTGGGGTAGCTAGATCATCCCCAAGAAAACAATTTTCCCAAACTGTCTAGTGTCTTCTCCTGCAAAGAGTTTTCACTGTGAGTTTACAACAGGAGTATTTGCCATCTTTTCAGTAATAACAACATGAAGAAGTCCCACGTTTATAGATCCTCTACAAAGATTTAACTGAACTGTTGCAATAAATCTTTTATTCTCAACCTGTGAGGTCTTAAAATCATTGCCTAAGTTTTGCTGCTTTTCTAGCTAGAGAAACAGAAGTAAAACACCATGTATTTTTTACTGGAACCAACTAACTGAATTCAGCCTAGTTTAGTATGCAATTTATTTTTTAAAAGCACGATGTGATGGATATTCCTTTCCATTCTTGTCTGAAACGTAAAAAATATTTTGAAGAAAAGCAATGTCAATGGATCTGGTTCCGTGCCTGATTCTACTTTTTCATATTGTTTTTCTCCTTCTCAGACTTCTCCTAACTTGTTTTTGTCCATTCATGATCATCAGCATTGTTCCTCATTCTACTAGGACAGCCACAAATTAGGGAGAGTGAAAAACTTGTCTTTTTTTAACAGCCACCAAAATGGACAGAATGGTCTAGGTTGTGATCTAACACACGCTAAAGGTCAGTCATTTATACTGCATGTGTAAGAGACTTGAAAAATATGACTGTTTGTCTACTGTCCTCCTCTGTTATTCTGTAATCTACAGAATCTCACACTCTTCCTCTACTTGCATCTCAGTCCTGCTCTTGAAGACACCCTTATCAAACCTTGAAAATCTAGGCACTAAGCACCTAGCTCCAACTTTAGATTCCTGAAATATCTGTGAAAATGTGTAGTAATGCTGCTTTCATCTACAATTTCTGAAGCATTCTTTAGGTATGAGATTGCTGTTTAGGGCTTCAAATGATTTGATCCTATTTTTTGGCACAGATAAAGTTCCACTGTCTTCAGAGTTACCCCTGATGAATATAGACCAGAGCTGGTTCCGATGACCATGGCGTTTTCAGATGCTTAGTCCCTTACAACAAGGGCTTTAGTTTCAAAGTGACTTTTCTAGGTATTTACATCCAGAGTTTGCCAAATGCTTAGCATCCACCATTGCAACACTAAATATCTTGTAGATGTTTTAAAAACGTTCTGCCCAAAGAGTTCCTGTGGAACAGGAGTTTTTTTGTTTGCTTTTAATATACAGGCCTAGTAGTTCCATGAGTCTGACCTGTTAATTCATATAAACACCACAAAATGCCTGTCCACAGTTATTTTTTACTGTGAATTAGCTGAAATCGTATTTTTTCGTGGTAAAGACAAGCCCTCAGGTAAACACTATATTTTACTTCAGATAAGGCTATGATTTCAGAAAGTGCCTCTTTTGTAGTTTATCTTGGTAATTATTTGTTCTGAGTCCAAGTAGTTTCCGCTGTAGAAGCACAGATATTAAAAGATAGAAAAGTCAGAATAAGTTACTTACGTATGATCTCTCTGCAAACACTGGCTTACCCCTAACATGCCTACTAGTAGCTTTGTCTGCATTTAGCTTTTAGACTTCAATGGTCAAACTAATTCTGAAGATTAGTGATTTTCTAAGCCTCTAAGTTTGGGGGGGGGAGTTGGGGGGGGTTGTTTTTTTGTTTTTGTTTTTACATTAACTGAATTATCTCAGTTGGATCCCAGTCATCTGTAGCACCTGAAATTGTCCTGCATTCCTCAAACTGCTGCACAATGCACATTGATTGTATAGAGGTGCTTCTGTATTTTGGTAAATTATTTTATCTCAAAGCAGCACGCCTCCTTTTGCCACACTGCAGATTTGCCCTAATTGCAGGTACTGGTTTTATTCTTGTGGGGAAATCCCTCATTGAAAAGAATCGACAGTGGTATTTATACCAATGGTGCTGCATTTCTAGCTGTACATTC